GTTTAATCTTCAGTGTTTACACATACACATCTCCCTGTCACTACTCAAGCTGTAGTAGTTTCCTTGAATTGAGTGTTTACACATACACATCTCCCTGTCACTACTCAAGCTGTAGTAGTTTCCTTGAATTGAGTGTTTACACATACACATCTCCCTGTCACTACTCAAGCTGTAGTAGTTTCCTTGAATTGAGTGTTTACACATACACATCTCCCTGTCACTACTCAAGATGAAGTAGTAGTTTCCTTGAATTGAGTGTTTACACATACACATCTCCCTGTCACTACTCAAGCTGTAGTAGTTTCCTTGAATTGAGTGTTTACACATACACATCTCCCTGTCACTACTCAAGATGAAGTAGTAGTTTCCTTGAATTGAGTGTTTACACATACACATCTCCCTGTCACTACTCAAACTGTAGTAGTTTCCTTCAATTTACAACAGATTTATGGCCGAGCGTGGCTCCCTTGGTTAGCGTGCCGGACTATGGATACGCAGACCCAGTGTTCGCGTCCCGTTACCGCAAAAACACACATACACAAAACGTGATTGCGTAATAAGGGTAGTAGTCAAGTCCCATTATTCGGTCAAAAAAAATCCCAAACTTGTCGATGGGTGCTGTCTGACTAATTACCTTCCCTATAATCTAACAGTTTAAAATTAGGGGCAGCTAGCGCAGATAGTCCTTAAGTAGCTTTGGGCGAATGTCAAAAAACCAACAATACTGTCGATTAAACTTGTTTCTAAAATTAAAATCACGATAAGCTTTCTCTGCGAATCAAGAATAAGCCTTCATAGAAAAGATTTAAAATGATACTTTTCGGCTATATCTGATCGAAGACAACTGGATACTTTATCTGACTGAGGTAGGTCAGATGTGGTTTATTTGTTAGCGTGCTGGACTGTGGATTCAATGGTCCATGGTTCCAGTCTCATTGTCACAAAAAAAATCAAGTTCTGCACTTTGGGACCATAGACTGATCAAAGACTGGTGGTTAAATCCAGTTAAAGTTGAAGAGACAAGATGTTTAATAAGGTGTAATGTCTTAAAAATAGAAAAAAAACAAGATGTTTTCTAAGATGTAATGTCACAAAAACAAGAAGACAGAGAATATTTTTTTGGAGGTAATGTTTAATGAGGATGAAAAGTGACAAAAACACAGTGCATTCTGTGTAAGAAGGACAGCAACACAAAATATCCTGGATGACAAGGACAGTTTGTTTGTTTGTTTGAAATTAAGCACAAAGCTACACAATGGGCTATCTGTGATCTGCCCACCACGGGTATCGAAACCCAGTTTCTAGCGTTGTAAGTCCGCAGACATACCGCTGTGCTACTGGAGGCGACAAGGACAGCAACACAGAGTGTCATGGGTGACAAGGACAGGAATATTCTGAGCGACTAGAACACGAAAACAGAGTTTTCTAAGTGATGTGGACAACAAAGGAGATAATTCGAAATGTGTTTTGTAAGAAAGAGATTAAGCTACTTCTAATATCGGATTTTTACCAACAAAACAAGGCTTAACGACACGTGCTTGTTTGGGGTTCAGTGGGAATGTCCTTTACAAAGATGTGATTAAACCAAGTCTATTTCAGTTGGGTTTCTTCCAATTATCTGAGCTCTTATCTTGACCGTACAGAATTACCCCTGTAGAAAAGCAAAAGAAAAAAAACAAAAAAAACTACAACCAATGCAGTGCCTAAAATGTAGCGGATAGTTTTATTTTTAATTTATGATGCTGATATAAAACTTTAGTATCATTTTCCGTATAAGTTATCCAAGTTATATATATATACATTTGAAAGATCAACAAATCAACAATGTTACAAGGAGTTCAACTTTTATTTTCACAAAATATGCGTCAGGGAAAAAAAAGCCACCTGACTCTACACAAACGCGTATACAAACAAATAAGTATAGTTATATTAGTATTTAATAACAGTATATATATTTTATAATTAGAATAATTATTATTGATAAATACGTTATTCTGTAAAATAAATGCAGAACCAAAACAATTGTTGATATACTTATCAAATTACATATAAGTAGATGTAATTATTACAAGCTACTACTGATGAAACTCCGTGATTTCACCACGCTTGTTTTGGAATGTATGAAACGTTACACCGCTGCGTTGAAAAGCTATGGATTAATTGGGTTCAGAATTAATCATTCACAGATGTGTGTAATTCGTGGGAGTGAGACTGTGGTTAAGGATAAGTATCTGCAAGCATGTTCGGCGACGGGATGCGAACTCGTGACCCTCAGATTATGAGTCAAGTGTCCTAACCCGTATGGAGAAATAAACGTTTGGCTAAATAGATGGTACGTTTACGTATCTGTACAAGAATGGTTCGTCCACCTTTTCATAAGTCTGTATAGCGTTTGTCGTTAAATACAGAGATCAGCAAATTAAAAGAGCTAGGCCTAGTGGTTCAGCTTGCCTGTGAATCCGATAATTCATGGTTTGCGACCCGTTGTTTCAAAAAAATGCTTTTCGCCTTGGGGACTCATTATAAGAGAGGTGGTCTAATGAAGTAGACATAATACAAAAGTTGGCGGTGGGCGCTTTTTGCTACTTGCCTTGCCTGTCGGTTAAAAATTAAAAACGACTAAGCGCATATAGTTTGTTTGTTTGAAGTTAAGCAAAAAGCTACACAATGGGTTATCTGTGCTCTGCCCACCACGGGTATCGAAACCCGGTTTCTAGCGTTGTAAGTCCGCAGACATACCACTGTGCCACTGGAGGGCAAGCGCATATAGACTTTAAGAATCTTTGCGTGGAATTCTTAAATAAACACAACAAAGTTACAAACATGGAATAATTATAAATGAAACTAAAAAACACTGTTGTAATGATAGTCATCTTAGGTTGATATGTATGTGAAGATTTCTTTATAAGAAAACATATAAATCTGGCACCACTTTTAACAGAAAATAATCTGATGTACATTTGAGGTAAATGAAAAACACAGAGCATCATTTGGTTTCTTGTACATTCTAGGTTGGGTTTAATGATCTTGGTGAAGAGGGGTGTACATTCTAGGTTGGGTTTAATGATCTTGGAGAAGAGGGATGCACATTCTAGGTTGGGTTAATGATCTTCGAGAAGAGGGATGCACATTCTAGGTTGGGTTTAATGATCTTCGAGAAGAGGGATGCACATTCTAGGTTGAATTTAATGATCTTGGAGAAGAGGGATGTACATTCTAGGTTGGGTTTAATGATCTTCGAGAAGAGGGATGTACATTCTAGGTTGGGTTTAATGATTTTCGAGAAGAGGGATGCACATTCTAGGTTGAATTTAATGATCTTGGAGAAGAGGGATGTACATACTAGGTTGGCTTTAATGATCTTCGAGAAGAGGGATGTACATTCTAGGTTGGGTTTAATGATCTTCGAGAAGATGGATGTACATTCTGGGTTGGGTTAATGATCTTGGAGAAGAGGGATGTACATTCTAGGTTGGGTTTAATGATCTTCGAGAAGATGGATGTACATTCTAGGTTGGGTTAATGATCTTCGAGAAGATGGATGTACATTTTAGTTGGGTTAATGATCTTCGAGAAGATGGATGTACATTCTAGGTTGGGTTAATGATCTTCGAGAAGATGGATGTACATTCTAGGTTGGGTTAATGATCTTCGAGAAGATGGATGTACATTCTAGGTTGGGTTAATGATCTTGGAGAAGATGGATGTACATTCTAGGTTGGGTTAATGATCTTCGAGAAGATGGATGTACATTCTAGGTTGGGTTAATGATCTTCGAGAAGATGGATTTGCTGACGATTCCAGACTAAACCATTGAGCTAACAGAACAAATGAAGAACAAGGATTGCCGTAAATGTTAGCCTGATCCGAGTTCCTAACCAGATGTGGGCTATTGTGGATATTAACTTGAATTTACAAGTTAGAATAACATAGGTCTTAAACATTTAAATCTAGCCTGACAGTTTAGAAGAATCCGGCTGTTTGAATGTTAAGCTAACAAACTTGTAGGTTTTAACTGTACACTTTACTGGAACCAATAATCTAAGAGAACATGGGCTGTTGTACACTGTAACTGGAACCAACGATCTAGGAGAACATGGATTGTTGTAAACTTTACTGGAACCAATGATCTAGGAAAACATGGACTGTTGTACACTGTAACTGGAACCAACAATCTAGGAGAAGATGGATTGTTGTACATTGTAACTGGAACCAACGATCTAGGAGAACATGGATTGTTGTACACTGTAACTGGAACCAACGATCTAGGAGAACATGGACTGTTGTACACTGTAACTGGAACCAGCGATCTAGGAGAACATGGATTCTTGTACACTGTAACTGGAACCAGCGATCTAGGAGAACATGGATTGTTGTAAACTTTACTGGAACCAACGATCTAGGAGAACATGGACTGTTGTACACTGTAACTGGAACCAACGATCTTGGAGAAGATAGACTGTTGTACACTGTAACTGGAACCAACGATCTAGGAGAACATGGATTGTTGTAAACTTTA